TGCACAGGCACTATCATCTATGTGAAATACAAAAAGAAAAAAATATTCAATATATATATATATATATATATATATATATATATGCATTGATTGATTGCGCTCATTTCATTCTTTTCTTTTGACTGTCATCACATCACACGGTAGGGGGAGAAGAGAAGTTCTTTTTTTCCCCTCTATCATCTCTTCACCCTTATATGTTAAGAGGAGGAGAAGAGGCATGGATCTCTGCTTTTCCCCTCCACAGGATGAACAAGAGATATGAAGCCTATGATTTTTTTTGTCACATGTAGAGAAAAGTATTTTGTTGCCTTTTTCTCATATCGGCAGAATGTGCCATGAGAAATAAAAACAAATATATTTAAAAAAAAGAGAAAAAAATAAATGCTCCATTTTTTTTTTCTCTCTCTCTCTCTCTCTCTCTCTCTTTGTTGTTGCTGTTATTGCAATGAATGAAGTATCTTCTCCCCTCACTCTCTTTGTATCTTCAAGGGAACTGTGTGTTTTGTAGTAGTAGTTGTTGTTATTATTATTCTTCCTTCTGAATACATCAATAGAAGAGAAACGGTTGGGAAATACATACATCAACCGTATATAAATAAATAAATACAATATTACAGAAGAAGGATATTTGTATTTTGAGGACTACGAGCGAAGAGGATTAGATCGAAAAACAAAGGAAGAAGAGAGAGTATACATATACATATATATACATATGCTCTCACCAAGTATTGTACGTCGCTCTACATCACGAGTAACTCTTCCAGCATCTCTACAACGTTTATTTCAATGGTATCCTCGCAAAGGTGGAGAATTTCTTGGTGATCTTCTTGCTGGACACAATCTCTTTATTGCCGACATTCCACGTAAGTTTGATGCCCAACACGCCCGTCACTTCTCTCTTGTGGAGTCTCTCTGCATAACACCCCTCTTTACACTCTCCATCGTACATTACTTCTCTGGCTTCTTCCTCTATCCAGCACAGCGGAAGGTAATCCCAGTGTTGATGACAGAGTTAACCCGCAAAACAGAAGCTATTCATCAATGGACAGATGTGATGTCGAAGAAATCACCGGGAGATGCCATTGCCTGGCGTGCGGGATTAGTATTATCGCAGGTGATGTTGTTTCCAGCTTGGCTGCTGTTTTCCTCCTTCGCACCGCAGTTAATGCATGCCACCTTAGAGCGTACCAATCATATTTTATATCAAAAGTATGCGTGTATTACTAAAGATGCCCCACCGTTTGTGGAGAAGTGTATGAATGAGGCACGTGAGGCCGAAGGGTTTCACAGTCAACAGTTAAATATTCCAACAGACTACTGTGCAGCTGTTCTTATTATCTTGTTGGTCCTTTACTTGACATCCTAGACTGTATTCCGGTCAGTGGGAGTGGGGATCGAATATATATATATATATATATATATATATATATATACATTAGAGAAAGAGATATATATGAACCTTTTTCTTGGTTTTTTTTTATTCTTTCTTATTAACGTGATATGACTGAAATCAGAAAAATGGAAGGGAAAGCAAACAAACAAAGAAAATATTGGAAAAAAAAAGGAATAACGACAATAAAGGTATACAGAAAAAATATTATCTCTATTCATTACGGTTTTAGTTTATAAATACGTATTGTTTATATGTGTAATATATATATATAACTCTTTTTTTTTTCGTTTTTAAATAAATTATATATATGTATATATATTCTTTAGTTTAGAATTCTAATTAGCACCAATATCACACTCACTCAGAAATCCCACTTTGTGCATAATTACACTACATCATCTATACATAGGGGAATCAAACGTAAAAAAGAAAAAAACAAAAAGAGTGTGAAAGAACCTGACATTCTCTCTGATTTGATGCCAATGCGAGTTCTTCTCTCCGTTCCACCTTCTTTACCAGCCTCTCATTCTTCTGTGGAGCGTATTCTCACCGCCCAGCAACACCGTGTTTTCTTCACTAGTGATCCCAAAGGATCTCGTCTTGGATCTGGCGGAGGAACAACATGGCTGCTGGAGGCCTGTTACCGCTCTGAACAGGAATCTTCCACTGTTGAGATAGCTGCTGAGAAGGAATGTGATGATAAAAAGTTTATGAATTGGTTATCAAAGGAACCACGTATTATTGTTCACAGTGGAGGACAAAGCCGACGATTACCATCTTATGGTCCTTGTGGAAAAGTATTGGCACCTATTCCAGTTTTTCGAAGTTCGCGTGGTCAGCGGTGTGATCAAACATTATTGGATGTACAGATGCCATTATATGAAGAGGTGATGCGGCATGCCCCATCACAGTTACGTACACTTATCACCTGCGGGGATGTTCTCATTTTGTTGGATCAACCACTTCCACCAATTCCAGAGGATACAGATGTGGTTTGTTATGGTATTCAAAAAGAAGTGGATGTACTCAGAAAACATGGAGTCTTCTTTATGAATCGCGATACACCGGATGAATTGGAGACAATGCTGCAGAAACCTACATTAAAGGAAATTCAGGAATATGCAGAGGGGAGAGAAGCCGTTATGGATATTGGACTTTGGCTCTTAAGTGATCGGGCCATTGAGGTATTGCGACAACGTAGTACAACAGAGAGTAACTTAAATAAATCTAATGATACCTCCCATCTTAAGGAGTATGATTTATACAGTGATTTTGGAATGGCTCTTGGTAAACATCCACTACGGGATGATGCCCTCATTCAAACATTACGGGTTAAAATTATTACTCTTCGAGAGGCACGTTTCTTTCACTATGGAACGACAGAAGAACTCATCACATCTACATTTGCTATTCAAAATACTCTACGTCATTCAGATGGTTCTATAGAGTTAGCGGTATCTCGTCATCCTGCAACTTTTACACAGAACGCTATTATCCATATACCTTTAACAGAGGAACATCGACTTATGTGGATTGAAAACAGTGAAATTTCATCAGGTTGGACTCTGGAGCATCACTCCGTGATTACAGGTATTCCACGGAATACATGGAAACTACATGTACCCGCATATGTTTGTATTGATGTTGTTCCGGTTCGTCATGATGGGAAACGAGGTTGGGTTGCCCGTCCATATGGATTTAATGATATGTTTCGTGGACCTGTCTGTGGAGAAAGTACATACTTTCTTGGTCAGCCACTCACAGAATGGATGAGGCAGCATCATCTTCCACATCAGGCACTTTTCACAGAAAAGACGAAAGAGATGGATTTACAGTTTACTCCACTCTTCCCATGGTGTGCTACTGTAGAGGAACTCGGTCTGTTAATACGATGGATGATATGTACAGATCCCACTGAATTGCAATCCACTGAAATGCAGCGGGTGAAATCTTTATGGGAAACAAGTTTTCGTTTCTCTGCAAATGATTTAAATGATGTGGCTGATATTGAAGCCCTCTTGGATGCTAGAGATGCATTTCAACGGGAAATACTTCCTATTATGGCATCTAATTCCCATAAGAACCCTTTTTATCAAATGGATTTAAATCATACAGCATTGAAATACGCCGCTGCACATTTACCACTTCCTGAGAAACTCTCCGAATCGGATGCTCCTGTTATGAAACGTGTACATCATCACATGTTCCGAGCACGAGTACTACAATATCTCTTAGCTCTATGGAAGAAATCTTCATCATCTTGTTCCTCTGTGAAAGATATCGTACCTGGTCAAGAAGGAGAAGATAAAGATGCTGAAAATGAAAAGGAGGAAGTAATGTTAATACAGACTCTACCTCCTCTTCTGAAAGGTGTTTCCATAACGGCAGAGATACTTCAAAGGGTATATGGTATTACAAGTGAGGAGGAACTTGTGGCACGTGCGGAGGAGGAAGAGTCCATATCGTTTAAGTTATTGCAATATTCAATCCTTCAGGATTTAACAATCAGTACTTCCAGACCATCACCAAAATTAGCCGTTATGAATGATCAAATTGTATGGGGAAGAGGTCCAGCCCGTATTGATTTATCCGGTGGATGGACAGATACACCACCGTATAGTATTATGTGTGGTGGTAATGTTGTGAATGTTGGTATAAACCTAAATGGTCAACCTCCTTTGCAAGTTTACATTAAACCTTCCTCTACCCCTGATATTACAATTCGATCTATTGATCTTGGTGTTTCTGAGACCTTTACAACCTATGATGAACTACGTCGCTATGATATCGTGGGATCTCCGTATTCTATTCCCAAAGCAGCTCTTGCCTTGGCAGGTTTTCTTCCCGAGTTTGGTTCGAAATCCTTTACAACACTGAAGGAACAATTACAATCATCCTTTCGTGGTAAAGGAATGGAAATAACACTTCTTGTTGCCATTCCCGCTGGATCCGGACTTGGCACCAGTTCACTTGTGGCCTCCACGGTGTTAAGTGCCCTTTCAGACTTCTGCGGTCTTTGTTGGGATGCGCAGGAGGTCGGCCGCCGCACATTATGTGTAGAGCAACTACTCACAACAGGTGGAGGTTGGCAAGATCAGTACGGCGGTTTATTTCGCGGTTTGAAGTTATTACAATCGCAACCGGGATTTGCACAGAGTCCGTGTGTGCGGTGGCTGCCTGAACACCTGCTGGAGGATCCACGCTACGCCCCCTGTCATTTACTCTACTACACAGGCATTACACGAACCGCAAAGAAGATTTTAGTGGAGATTGTGCGGGGGATGTTTATGAATAGCGCATCGCATCTACGTGTCTTGTCAGAGATGAAACAACAGGCACTTGATTTGCATGATGCGATCACACGAGGGGACTTTGAACGTTATGGTAAACTCATTGCAAAGGCATGGGATCAGAATAAGCGATTAGATGCAGGAACATGTTCACCACCCATTGCCGATATCATTTCCCGCATTGAAAAATATGTTTGGGGGCTTAAACTAGCTGGAGCTGGTGGTGGTGGTTATCTATATATGGTGGCGAAGGATGTGGAGGCCGCACGGCGTATTCGTGAGGAATTGACATTACATCCACCAAACGAAACGGCTAGATTTGTGGAAATGACTGTTTCACACAAAGGTATACAGGTTAGTCGTTCATAGTATTATTTACGGTACCCATACTGTATATATTTATATATAGTTTATTTATTCTTCTTATTTAAAAGATAAGCGCAAAAGGTAAGACGGTTGGTAGGAAAAAAAAAAAAAAAAAAAAAAAAAACCACACACAAGTGGTAGGAGGGAGAAATAATTTATAATTTATCTATATTTACATGTACATGTACATGTAAGAGATACTTTTAAAGAATAATTTAAACAAAAACGATTTATTTAACGATATTGCGTCACCATGCTTTTGTGCTTATTCATTTTTTCTTTGTTTTTTTTTTTCTTTTTCTTATTTATATTTCTTTCTTTGTTTTTGTTTTGGAGTCCGTGGTGTTTGAGAGCTCAGGGCTTTTGTCTGCTTTATAGCACTCACACCACTTTAGCAATTTTATTATTGTATATATATATATATATACAATAATAAAATTGTTATTCCTTTTATCCTTATAGCTGTTTATACTGTTTATATTTTTTCTATTTCTGTTTATTACGGTTGGGTAATTTTATTTCCATCACTTTATTCTACTACTCTTCTTATTCTTTCTTATCTAAATTATCTTTTCTCTTTTTTTTTTCTCTTTTTTTTCTCTTTTTTTTTTCTCTTTCTCTCTGTGGAAGTACAACAGGAAGGAAGTGGACAACGGTGTTGTGTGGTCCCCCATTCTTTCCTCTCACTCAGCCCTATACTATCGTGTTGTCTACACACACACAGACGCAAAAAGTTAAGTGAGGAGGTAAACAAAGAAAAGAAAAAAAAAGGGGGAAGAAGAGAAGTAGAGCTTCTCTATCTATTTATTTATCTATACATATCTATTTATCTATATACATATATATATATATATATATATATATATATATATATATATATCTGTGTGTGTGTGTGT